TGCTTGTTTTGTTCAATGATATACAATCATGCTTGCTTTGTTCAATGATATACAATTACAGGTATTATTTAGACAATATAGTATCATTGCAAAACATCAAACTAGGGAAACATAAAGGATTACGCCTTTACCTCTGAAATTCCGCCAAAATGAATATTGAAATTACATCCTCGCAATAAAAAGGGTAGGCAGGTCTGCAGAACATAACATACATAACATTATATACATAAATCAAGTTTCAGAAGCAGAAGTGCGTTTTTATTTTATGAGCGAGAGAGAGAAACAGAGGGGGTGAGAGTTAAGAGAATAGAAGGTTCCACCTGTTCCACTGGGTATCAAACTTTTCCTTACCACCATTCTTATAAGAAATATTTTTTTGTGTTTCATAATGAAATTTCATTTGTGATAATACAGTATGTACATTAATAGGTTTCTGGGTGCATCTTGCAGTATAAATATAATATTTAAGCCAAAGAAGAATAGCATTTTGAACATCAGTGTTTTCATCAATTAACCCTTAAATAAAAGATTTCTTAGTAACTCTAATCTTTAGACCAGTCTTATCTTCAAGTAAATGAACAAATTCTTCTAGAAAAATTTGTGTATTATTGCATTCCCATAAAAGGTGTTCTATTGTTTCCTCCTCAGTGTGGCAAAAACTGCAGAACTTACTAATAATTTGAATTGTTTTATTGGACTCTTCAACATGAATACTGTTCGTTGTCTTCACTTTTCATGAAAAAGTTGAAGTCACCTCGTTTGTCACAGAATTAGTTGTAAGTTGGCCATTATCGTCTATAGTCAATAAGACACCCAAATATGAAACAGATGTAGCAGACTCTGTGGTGTCTTTTATTTCGAGTTCACTGGAATATATCGAGTCAACATATGAATGAAAGTAATTATTGTTAATCGATATATCTGAATGTGAAGTTAAAGCCCACGGCAGAATTTTTCTTGTTCTCATGTAGAAGTTTTTGAATAAAGTCAGCTTCATAGGATTACAAAAACAGACTGCTAATAAAGGAACACAATTAGGTCCCATCGAAATCCCAACAGACTGTTTGAAGTTATGGTCTCCAAGCAAAGACTAAATGGATCTTGAAAAGAGGAACTTCGGTATATTTTTACCATCAACCTCAGAGTACTTGTTTTGTATAATCAGACTTTTTTAAAACAAATTAATTGTATACTGATTAGTCACGAGACAGGAAAATGGGCAAGTTCCATTTTTCTTGAAGAAGCCGTTCTATGGAATCAAACCACCTAATCTTTATTTTATCATAGGGAATGGCTATATAAAGTGTTGAAAAACCATTCATATTTATGTTTTTGACTTTGGGGGAAAATTATGATTTTAAATGTTTCAAAAATGTAAAAGTTCGTGAGAGATTTAAAAATCTATAATTTATATGATTTACACAATTTCATGAATATGTTGAAGCATAGTGCGTCTTACATTTCTCCTTCACAGCAGTTAATATTTTTGTGAGAAGTAAAAATAGGATATTGGTAGAGCATTTGTTGGAACCTGCACGTGTATTTGTTTGTAAGGAAAGTTTAAGAATTCATCATAGATAGGATAAATCGAATTCACTTTCGTTGACTAGAATCTTTTGATTTTGAGGCATTTTATCCTTAGAGAGTGAACCTTGGAGTATAAAATGGATTTCCGGAATAAAGAATTAAATCCAAGTTTTTCTAGCAGATTCTTAACTAGATGTCCTTGATATGTGTAGGTAAATCAAAGTTATGCATGGGTATGAATTCTGCTGTTTTACAGATCTATATCGCAATCAATTGATTAAAATTTAGGTATCAAATACTTACGGGTAAATACAGTATTATTACAAGTATTATTTTTGTCGTACAATTTTGCTGTTCCATTGTCGAGTGAACATGTGTAGATGCAACTGTATAATCGATACAGAAAAAAAATCTTCCACATCTTGAACAAATTTTGGAAAAAAAATTAAAATCTTGCATTTTTATCCTAGGCGGCAGAATTTTATATCATAAAAAACACATGAAAGAACGGGGCGGGGACAAAGGTTTTTTTTAGGTGATAATTCTAGTATAATGTAGTTCATCTTTAATAACAGTCGTCAAAGATGACCATGAAATAAGATATAAAGTGTACTGAACAACAACTGCATTTTCGGGATGCTATAAGTTTCCTGATTTCAGTCCAATCTTATTATTTTGCTAGAAGAAATGCAAATTCTGAAACTGATAAACATATTACAGTGTAGTACCGGTAGTTACATGCACATATAAATCCTGTATCATTCTTCCAGATTGAATCAAGGGCAAAACGCTGTAGATGGGGGTCAACATACAACAGGGTCAATTTTCAACGCGTTTATGTCATAAGTGCCGAAAAATCAAATTAAAAAATGACCCCGGGTATAAATTCTACGACTCTTAGTTTCAGTTTTCAACGGAGAAAAGCAACCTTGGTTCTATAATCAACGTTGAAAAATGAACCGCGGGTCAATTTCCAACCCGGATCTATATTCTACGTTACACCGGCTTAAAAACATGATCGGCCAGCACTAGTATCAGGCGACGCGGATCTTAAACAAAAAGATTTGTTATTCCTAGATACATGCACATCTATTAATTTAATTCTTTGTCCCCTGTGCAAAGGCATAATGAGGTAGCCAGAAAGCTACATTTTTCAGAAACAGAAAGGATATCAAGCAAATAATCATCAGTTTTAGTTAAAAGGACGAAAACATACGTATGCTTGGTGTTTAAAAATCCGTTATCAAATGTGGAAAAAAATTCAGCGCTTACAGATTTAAAATTTACTTTTATTGAAAACTAATGGTAAAACCTTGTCCTTTTTAGCTCACCTGAGCCAAAGGTTCATGTGAGCTTTGCTGATCAAAATTTGTTCGTTATCTGTTTTCATTGTAGTGGTTAACTTTTCATATTTTTCTCTTCTCCAGATCAACTGGACCAGTTTAAAAAAGAATTGCCACAAAGCATCCTTGGGTGAAGGGAATTTAAGTTTCTTCAAAAGAAAGACCACGCACTCTTTCAAGGGGAGGTAAGTAAAAATTAGTGAAAATTAAATGGCATCTCTCAATAATCTTCTCAAAAACCACTATACTAGGCCGGAAAAGTTTAAACTTCTTTGAAAGCTTCATTACATAGTGTAGATAGAAATTTGTTCAAATCATGACCTCTGGAGGTAGGTGGGGCTACAACAGGGGATCAAAGTTATACACAGGATCACAAAGGAAATATCTTTAACTAGATGTGTCGATAACGACACGAATGCCCCCGCAAGCAGACAAAATTTCAAATGCAATACAGTGTATTTAGTTTTAATTTGAAATTACAACCTTATACATACATATACATCCCTACAAATGTTAGAGAGTGGAAACTGAAAATGTTTTATTTTTTCTAAGTTCATGACCATGACCAAATTTGAACTTGACCTGCGTATTCCTATGGCGTATCCATTTGTCAAATTGAGTTAAATGTGTTCAACTGTTGCAGAGACAATGAATGGAAAGTGAATGATGACGGAATGACAGAATGACGGAACAGGGTAACACTATATGCCCCGACCATTTTATGGCGGGGGCATAACAATTTTCTTCTCAAGAACAACAAAGCCATGATAAGTCATAATAAAAAAGCATCCTCAGGTAGTGTAGATTCAGTTTTTTTAAAATTATGACCCAAGGGGTAGGACAGGGCCACAATAGAGGTTCAGACTTTTACATAGAAATATACAGAAAAAAATCTAATCAACAACAGCAAAGCTAAGATTAAACATATTAGTACAGAAGCATCCTCATTTAGAGTAGATTCTTTTTTTTTCAAATTATGACCCCTATGGGTAGGAAATATATAGAAAAAAATCAGTACAAATCTACCAAAACTATGTTTAATCAAAGAAATATGGAAGATCATCCATTAGTGTAGATTTATGTTTTTTTTCCATAACCCCCTAGGGATAGATTGGAACCACTTGTATACGACGTATGTAAACTTTTCATTTATGAACTTATTTCTTCTGTTCCCTAGGCATGGCCGTAGGAACCGGGGGGGGGGGCACGGGGGGGGCCGTGCCCCCCAATAATTTTGCCGATATATAGAATACTATAGCTACTATATGCTTGTGACCCCTCAAAATAACGTCTGATGACCTTTTTTTTTTTTTTTTTTTTTTTTTTTTTTTTTTTTTTTTCTTTTTTGCTTGTCAAGGAATTTTGGTAGTTGATAGTGCCCCCCCAACTGAAAATTTATGTTTGTGCCCCCTCAAAGTGAAATTGCTTCCTACGGGCCTGCTAGGCATAGTGCTCAGGTGAGCGATCTGGTCCATAGGCCTCTTGTTCAATGTGGGAAGCATGTAGAGCGAATATTTTAGCTTCTGCATTCGTACAAATGAGCTATTAGACGACATGCAAAATGTGAAACATGAACAAGAACTAATTACTTGAACTCGTTAGAGCACATAAGAGCAATGTCTGCCATTTGTCGAAATAAAAACTTTTAACACTACAAAAGCTTAATGGCGGTATTTTTTTTTTTCGGAAAAATCTCCAAATAATTCACTTACTTTACCACTTTACCATAAATGTGCTAATCACCATTTGAGAGAGACGAAAAGGAACACACAAGAACTTATAATATCACGAATTGTCCTCTACGGAGGCTTCGTAATTAGGTTTTTGACGCCTGAATGTTCTACTGAAACTATTACCACGACCTGTCGTGACTTCGCATTCGATTTTTTATAAGGGTATTCACACGTACAATTAAAAATCTGATTTTCCCAAGATTTCTTGTGTCAGATCTGGTATAAAATCAGCTAGCTATTCCTTATTACATGTGATTAAATAGGAAAGGTTATAAGGGTACAGATCTGCTTGCTCAAAAGAGGGAACCAATCAAAACAATAAGAACTTCATATGCAACTGTGAAAGAAATTTATAATCAATAAGATTTTTTCACAAAATATGAATTTCAGCACAAAAATGAACAGATTTTATAATTGTTAGAGATTATATTTTAATTTCACCCACGATTCCATCAGTGCACTGGTCATCATTTGAAGGAGGTGAACAATAAATATTTAAATTTTGCTTCTAACTTTTGCAGACCCATCTGCATATGACTGGTACACCATAATGGCTTTATCAATATCGCATGAAGACTTGACAACAGACGGCTGTTCTTTGCACGCAGTCATCCATTTATGAAAGGTCTTGTAATCGCCACCTTGAGGAATTTCAAATCCCCTGTGATGCTTCAGAACAGGGAATCTTACGGCAAATGGCACCAACATAATATCCGCCATTCCCAATCTGTCACCGCCAAAAAATGTAGACGAATTTGACTTGTATTCCATTAGAGTTTTCAAGCTTAGTAGCAACTCTGATTTTATTTTCTCCTGAGTGTTTTTATCTTGTTTTAACAACATACCATAAAAAGCGGGGATTATCTCGCGTGATATGAAGCTGCATAATATCCTTGTCTTGGCGCGTTCTATGGGATCTGAAGGGAGCAGTTTGTTGGCTTGACCCCCATATTCGTCAATAAATTCGATGCAAATGTCGGACTCGTAAACGGATCGTCCATTTACCCCAAGTACAGGAACGAGTCCTCTAGGATTTAGGCGTAAAAACTCCTCTGTATTGCCGCTGTAGGGATTATATTCTATGTAATCAAAAGCCACACATTTCTCCTGAAGAGCAATCCACACCCTTTGTGCAAACGGACAGAACCACGCACAATAAAATTTTAATTTGGTCGTCATAGCGCTAGGGAGAAAAGAAATACAATATTTATAATATGATCTTAGATGATTTAATACTGTAATAACCCTTACATCTATGTCAAGAAAGCTTATATTCTCAAAATATTCATCGTCTATTGCTCTATCATGCATTGGCTCAAAACAAACTATTTTCAAACTGCTCCTTCCAATTTTTCAATAAAACACAAAAAACAAACCTTGCGATTTCTAATATTAAACATGAGATATGGAGATAGCGAAAAGTATTCAAGCTCAAAGTCCATATAAACAATACAAATCGGGAGCAGAGCAAACACTGAACTCAAAAAGCATCAGAGGTGGGATCAGGTGCCATGGAGGAGTGAGCATACCCTGCCGACCGGTCACATCCTCCGTGTGCTCCTTGTCATGATCGGGAAAAAAGGGAAAATTTGTAAACAATTCAATTTTTATGGCCTTATAATAAGTATGAAAACGTCAGTCAGCATTAACTTAATGGAAGGTTGTATTTGCCATAAGGTTGTAACAACCATAAAACTTGCGAACATCTAAAACAAAATCCTCTTAAGTTTCTTGCTCTTACTCTACCTTCAACTATAGTCCCGCTGGACACGTCATTACTCGTGATATAAATATTGTTGAAATGAGGACGTTGAAGTAATCTTTTAAAAGATGCTAAAATCTTTCAGTTGCCGACAGAGTTTCATTTCCATTATGAATTCCGTCGAGAATTATGCCAGAACATGGGCAAAGTATGAAGAGAAAGACCTGCAAACTTTGTCATAATGGATTAGGTGTTTTAGAGGTATATTAAAAAATCGTGTCAGAAAGTTAAAAGGTAATTTACGAAATATATATCTTCCGTTTTCACTAAATCGGAAGTGATAAAAAAAATTTAGAAAGACTACATGAACAATATGTTATGATACCAGCTAACAAGGCTTGCAACAATATGGCCTTTGTTTGTAAAACACATTATTACAACTGTATTTTAGAAGGAACTCGGTTACAATTCTGGATTGATTGATTCTATATTGTTTAACGTCCCATTCGAGAATTTTTTACCCATACAGAGACGCCACCGTATGCTAGTGAAGGGTTTCAAATTTAGAGCTATACTCGGCACTCATGGCCATTAAGAAGTGAGGGTTCTTTATCGTGCCAACGCCTACCGTGGCACGGGACCTCGGTTTTTAAGGTCTCATCCGAAAGACCCGTGACTTGCACTTCTAGTGCCGGGCGCTTGGCGAAGAAACAGTCACTACCCATGTTTTCGTCTTAGGTTTGACGCGGCGCGGCGATCGAGAATCGAACCCAAGCCTCCCGATCATGAAGCAAGCGCTCTAGCACTTAGCTACCGTGACCGGTTTCTGCTTCTGGAAATTTACTTTATACTCATAAATCACTTTTAAAGGATAAAATTCTTCAAAATCACATTTATGTCTTTAAAGCTTTTTACATTTCATTTAACGAAAGTGAGTTCAATCTACCCTACCAAAACTGTATTCCTAAATTTCATAAATAGCCTTACAAACAAAGACTCATTGCCGGGTCCAGCAACTGCTCTTCCAATCCCCTATCTTTGCTCCTCATAAAAATATTAACTGACATAAAGGAGAAACTTCAGACTTCCTATGCTACAACATTTCCTAGAAGTGGTGTAAATCAAATGTGGATTCTCAGAAATTTCAAAGAACTTTTAGAAAATTTAAAATCACAAAACGTTTCAAATATCAGTTGCATCAAAACATACGAATTTTTTTCACTTTATACAACCATTCCTCACGATAAATTAAAAACTAGGTTTTTTTAATATCAATGACAGCTGCTTCTTCAATAAAATGGAACTCAGAAATTTTCTCATCTTGTGATTGGCCATTTGCAAAATTACTTTCTTAAAAATCCTTCTGATTCTACACATAAGTACTCTGAGGGTGATATTCAAAGGATGCTGAAATTCCTTATCGACAACATTTATCTAGTCTTTGAAGACCAGATCTTCCAACAATCTTTTGGAATTTCTGTTGCCACTAATTGTGCTCCTTTATTAGCCGATCTATTTTATATTTCTATGGAGTAGACTTTACTAGCATTTAAACACTTCTACATGAGAAGAAGAAAACATTGTGGCCTTCAACTCGACATTCAGATATATTGACATTACTTTCATTCATTGACTCGATATATATCCCAGTGAACTCAAAATAAAATCACCACGGAGTCTGCTACCATCTGTTTCATGTTGGATATTTTACCGACTATAGACGATAACTGATAACTAAACTGTATGGCAAACGAGATGACTGAAGCTTTTCAATCGACAACAAGAAATATTCCACTATCATCTGCAAATACTCAAGAGCACTCTCTGAGTACGATCAATTTTTAAGTCAAGACAGACTTCTGACAAATAAGTTAATGGAAAAGGGATTTCAACAACCGTCAGCATTTCGTAAATTCTATGATCGTTAAAATGACCTTGTTAGCAAATCCAACCTAACATTGGGCCGTATTTTAACTGACATATTTCACACCAACTACTTTCCTATGTTTTTATATTTTATTTATCTACGTATTCCGTTTTCCTGATCATTAAATAGGCCAGGCTCACTGTGGACGCGACCGGTTGACACGATATACTAACATCGTCTAGGCATCTGATTCCACCTCTGGAATTCCCCTGGGCCCCTGCTTACAGATTTGTATCCTGTGTAGATTTTTTGAGATTGATCCCTGTTCGTAATATTCACCTCTTTCAATTTGCTATTGTTACTTAATAGATTTAAAGTAAAGACTTTTTATTTGTTTGATGTCTTTTGGCATTTAATTTCAATAAATTTAATTATCAACTTAATTATCGTTTTTTCGATAACAATGACAAAACAATATGATATTTCTCTCGAACTGTTTAACTGTACAATATGGAAAATAACCTTTTAGTCATATTTCTTACACACGTACATAATAAAATATTATAAAAACGTCGATATCTTGGTAAAAGGACCCCGAATTCATAAACTAAATCTAGTATATGTATTAACATAGAGCTAGTGTGTACAATAGGAAAAAAGAAATGTCTTTTACAATATATCTATGTAGAATAAATTACTTACTATCTTTCAAACAAACAATGTCTACCCTTCAGAAGGATTGTACATATTAAAGGTTGAAAAAGTAGAACGCTTTTAAATTTATCACTGGAGAGTAAACATAGCATGATTGAATTCTATTACATATATGGAAACCCATCTGAAACAAAATCTTCCTATTTTTTACCTTCTTCTTCACTCTACAAATATAGTCCTGTTGGGCACGCCATTCCTGGTGATGTGAATATAGTTGACAATGAAGACTTCAAATCACTTTTTTTTCAAAAGGAACCAACATATAGGGAATCAACCCATTTTAGCAGGTCTTTTTTGTATTCATTGAAGCAGAATTTATTCAGACATTTTTACATGAAAAGACGAAGTCTCTTGCTGTGGCCTTCATTTCAACCATATCTACATTAAAGGTTTTATCAAAATACATAACCCTCTCTCTCTCTTTCTTTTACCTCTTTCTCTGGCGAGCACACACACAAACACACATTTTTAAGTATGCCATAAAAAGTATAATAGTCTTTAAGAATTCATTCCTGAATGTATAAATAATTTAATGTCAGACTGAATGATGAATGCTAAATGGGAATTATGTAAGTTTTACACAAGTTCAACCATGTGCTACTAATATCAGCGGCGATGTACTTCCTAGATTGCCATTTGTATCACTGGGCTAACAACTCTGGAACAAGGTCATCCTGAAAATAGTACCATTGACTCCTTCTCCTAGAGTTTTTAGTCTAACTTACAAATTACCTGATGAACTCAGTTATTTGAGTTATTCTGTTCTTCTTTGTTTCTAAAGAGACTCACAGATTACCTGATGAACTCAGTTATTTGAGTTTTTTTTATTCTTCTTTGTTTCTAAAGAGACTCACAGATTACCTGATGAACTCAGTTATTTGAGTTATTTTATAATTCTTCTTTTTTTTCAAAAGGAGAAGCAATTTGTACAAAATATTAACATTTTATTTTTTCAACTTCTCATGAAATTCTGTATTTTTTATGTAAATGAAGCAAAGGCATAATATCATTATTGAATATATGCTTGAGAAAATGTTATAAAAACAAATGTTAGCAAAAGAATGTTATTGATGTTCAATGATTATTTTTGCACTTTACGTTTTCGTGTTTATTATTAAATGTGACAATTACATATGTAACGTAAAGTGTATATAAACATATCACATTCAAGTAAACAACTTTGGAATAAGAGGAGAAGAAATGGTCTAAAAATATTTTCAGTTAATATTTTTTATCTTTTTAGTTCAGAGATTTCTATATCAAATACCATTTAGATTTTTTTACTTGCTAACATTGTTCCTTATCTTAACTTTTTCTTCTACCTTAAAGATTTGTCTCAAATAAAAGATAAAATTCTTCAAATCCCCCCCCCCCTTCATAATTTTTTTTACATCAACAAAGTAAAAAAATACCCCAAAGTGTAGATTTATCATTTGATCGCTATGTAGGTACTGGAAATGTTGGTAGAGATTCTCGGAATCATATACTTTTATTAAAAAAAAAAAAAAAAAAAAATCATTGAATATTAAACTGGACTTACTCCTTGTTGAAATTCTGAGATCTGTTAGATTTTCTCTCTTAGTTAAATAATTAAAATTTCAGTTAAAAAAAAAACAAACAAAAGCAAAACAAAAAAAAATCCACAGAGGGAATTAGTAATTGCTGCTTATTTTCTGATGAAAGGAGTTTGAGATATTGTCCAGAAACAATTTGGAACATTTTTTTTTACCTTACTTTAAAACCCTCCCCAGACATTAATAAAGGGTATGTATTATTATAAACAGTATTGAAATTAATGTGGAAGCCAATTACATTACGAGTTGTGACCTCGACCTTTCATTTTTTTTTTTTTTTTTTTGGCTTCAAAATCAATAGAATTCCTTATCAGTTAGATAAAGAGTCACCAAAAGTATTGAAGACAACAGTAATTTAGGGTAAAAGATGATATTGAAATTACCAACGATTAAAGATTGTTAAAAGTATGATTTGCCATGAATTAATCAAGACGATGAAGCAAAAACGGAGAATAGTTAATTGCACTGCATTTTTAACCTTCTTTGTAATTTATCCCAAGAGATGCCACCCATGCACTGTCAAGTCCGATTTGTTTTGTCTTACCTAAATAAAAGGTCAATCAAATATATGGTATCAATTTTGATAATGCCATATGTCAGAACGTACGTGGAACACGTCAAAAGCCCATTATACTTAAAAGCCACACAAATTAGGCTTAACGATTCCTTCAAAATTACGAGAGAAAATCTCTACTTTCTCTGGCAATAAAACAAACTGGCATAGTGGCACTCGTTGTCAGAATACTTAAGATAAACTTAAATAGAATTATTTTCTTCCTCATATATATTCAAAAAGAAGAGAGGAATGTGAATGCCAATTCATTGTCTGTACCAGTTGTACCTAGGCCAGACATTTTGGGTGGTGTAGGGACGGCGTCGCTCAAGACTGAAGTGAACTAGTGCAACATAAAGACCACCCTATTCAAATGTTGTGATAAATCGCCTTGCACTAAATTAATGGTTGGTCGTTGCTTAATTCTAAAGATTTATTAGCTAAATTTCTCAATAAAATTCAGCACAGTGTCTTCTCAGATTTGTTACGATATGCATATTAATATTATTTATAAATATAATGAAAGGTTAAGGTAATTCATTTTCTTCTGTTAATGTTATAGGTGCAATTATTGTTTTAATGCTACAGGTGCAATTGACAACAGACGTTATTATTTATAATTAAAATATAGTTGCTAGTCGTTGCTGGATATTTGCGGTTTTTTGTTCCTTATTAAACAGAAGATCTGCACTCAGTTGGCACACTGTAGTTTGTCGCATACAAATTAGTTTTGTATTTTTATTAATTTATGTCTATATTTTGCGCTATAACACCTTCGTGTGTCAAATATTAATCTTCTCTTTATTAAGCAGAAAAGGTTATTTATGGAATAAACACTTTTGACGTATATTTGTATGCATTTGTGGTACATGTAAGTATAAGTATTGCCAAAACTAGGTCAAAACTTATATTTTTTCAAAATAAAAAATGTGTTAGATTGATAAATATATTAAGAAAACCTCTCGTTTGGTAAACCCCGATCACACTCTGACGTGACAGTAAGCAGATTCAATACTGTTCTAAAAACGAGATGCTCACAGCTTTTTATTTATTTTTTTCATGCTACTCCCTTGACAGCTTCATGTGAAGATTTACGGAAATGCTGTCACCAATTTCCCATTTTGTTACCACACAAACGCTCCCCACTTCTTCTATTCAGCTTAAGGTACACTTTGTACTACTTGTGTGGTTGGGGAGGGAGGGATGCAAAAGACGCTTCTCCTCCGATGGCACAAATGTATAAAATTCTCCACTTTAGCTTTTCTTTTCTCTTTTATCAAGTCTACAGGTGTCTTTGTGACCAATATGGTTCCCAAGTCCATGAATATTAACACCAGGATCATGTATACATCACAGTGTTAAGGCGTGCTGACATTTACCTACGTGCCACAAACGTGACCTAAGCAACCTGAAAAAAGTAGATTTCTTGCAAACTCATATGTGCTTAAATGGGTTATATCGTGAAATATGAAGATAAAAAACACTCACGAAGCTCAAAAAATCTATTTGGGAGAATAGCAAACATGGACACCTGGAACACCATCTAATGGACATCTGAGCTTGATTACTGTTTTCTTCATAATCTTATAAATCTAAGGAACTCAATTGTCAAACTCATTGAATATCAATTTCTATCTTTCGTATACTTTCAATGCGGCAGTTGAATCTCTACTAAGTGTTAAATAAGTCCACAACTGGCTCATTTGCTGTTAGTTAGTCTTTACAAAATCCTTTCTACGTGACTAATATAATGTAGAAGAGCTACCGTATTGCTTAGACATGTCCAACCAAAACAATGGAGATCATGTCAGGTTCTTAAAGGTTGCTTCTATATTGACTTCCTTGTAAGTCAATTAAAATTCTTCTGCGTCTGGCATAGTATTAAGGAACCAGGGTTTTATATATAAATTGCAACATTTAGATACTTTGCATTGTATCAGATCATAATCTTGAAAACCCATAATTATCCTTCATGAATGAGCGTTTGTATTGACAGATATATGTCATGATTTTCTTTCTTTGCTTTCCATATTGGTTGGTTCTTTAAAGCACTTGCATTTTTATCTTTTGCACATGAGCATGGAAAAATACTTTTAAGGTATTTATTTCTGCTAAAATAAAAATTTACACATCATTTAGCTATATAGTAGATACTATAGAATTACTTATTTTCGTAGGGTCAAATTCTCATGGTTTGAGGAAAAAATATTGGTTTGAGGGGATTTGATTTCGTGATTAAAGGAGAAACATTAAACAGCAGCTAGAAATTTTCACGTTTCGTGGGAGCATATGAATCCTTGGGTTTCTTCATACCACGAAAAGATGATTTGTGATTTCACAGTACTCTCTAAATATTGCTATTGGAAAAGATCAACTCCCAGTGTGGTTTTATTCTAGCCCTTTTCAATTATTTTTTTCTGCAAAAAGAAACTTAAAATACTAAATGTTGTCAATGTCTTATTTTAAGAAAATTCAAGTACTGTGAAATCACCAATTTTTGTGGGATTTTGTTTTCATGGCAAGAGGAACCAATCGCAAACAAAAAAGAACTCAAGACTTCAACAACGAAATCAAATCCCCACGAAGCAATGTCATTCCTTAGACCACAAAAATTTGACCCCACGAAGAAAATAATTTTTCTGTATTTATATCAACATGACCTGATACTTAATCAGGTGTAATTCATAAAGCACATAGCGCTTCATAAATGATCTTCATTATAACCATTGATTATTTCATTCAAAATCACAGAAATTAACAAACTTTTGAGTTTTTATATCCTCGTGATCACATAAAGTTTGTGCAATATAACTACTCTTGAATTTCATGCAAAGAAATCTAACAGGAAATACTGTACCTTCTTATGTATAACATTTATTATGCCATTAGAGAAATGT